ACTCGGCAATTCGGCTGATTACGTTCTCGTCTGTGGACCAAGCTTCGATTAATTACCGGTTCGTCTTGTTTCCAGCGTGCGCGAATACCTTGACGGCCGCAAAGTTGAACTCATGGCCTGTTTAATAGGTATGCGCTGAAAATTGTGATAATTCGTCGCTGTTACTGTTTAATATGTCTGATGATGGACTGATTTGCAAATCTCAGGACAATAAACAAATTGATCCGGTGCTCGGCAGCCCTTCTTACTCATCCATGCAAATACGTGGAATGTGAACGTTTTCATTTATCCATTCAATCAAATCTGTTTTATAGAAAAAGAAGGCAAAACTATTCTTTTTTGCACTCATTTTCTACCAAATCACCTATTGCATTTTCGTACTCCAAATAAGGATCTCTTTAAAGTTCGCATAAAATGTCTACATCCCGAATAATTTTAATTCCGATCTACCGTTGCGTTTGCGTCTAAGAGTTTCAGTGTAAAAAACTGTATTCCTTCTATAGAATATGTCATACACCCCCCTATGCTATCAAAAAGGTAACATACTGTGCTCATCAATTTTTGTAAAAATGCGGACTTTGTTATATAATTTACGAGTTGAATAGACATTATACAGTCCTCCGAATATTCACAATTAGAAACTCCTTCTCGAATGAAAAAATTCAAGGGAACCCGATTTGCTACAAAGGGCATACAAAAATGGAATATTTTTGCTTACGTTTTCCTTTAAATAGATTTCAATTAATAGCATCCTCAAAAGTCGATAGAAGAAACGCAGGCTATCGAAGTAGCCATTTTTATCAACAAAGGTTTCCTCAGGAGGCTGCAAAAAGCGTTTGTTTAAAGGCTGGCATTGGGATTATGCTCAAAGATAATATGACAATTCCACTTAAGTAATAATTTCTTATCCAAAGCGCATTTAAGATTGCATGGGATGGACACAGAGCGTGTTTTTATCTACGTAAATTGACACCTATAGCCTATGTCACCATAGCCAGGTGTAGGTTTTGCCCTTTTTTTGCTACCCTCCCCCCGCATCTGTGAATTTTTGATAGTGGAACGAGCCTAAGCACATTTTCGAACAAACTGCGACCAGACCTAGGCCTGTCGAAGAAACAGTCTTGTATGGGGTGTGCGAAGGAGATGATATCTGAGATCTGCTGATCGGCCGAAGGAAAAAGCGCTTGTAAAACGTCAGACGAAAGAGGAATGTCAACTTTGCACCCTTCTTTTTGAAAAACACTTAAGCTTGTATTAAACTGAAACGAACGAATCGTGCAAAGTACTGCCTAAACTGTCAATGGCTAGAGTTGAATGTTTACTTCTGCCTGTACCGCAAAGTTTAGCTAGGACTTTATTCTCCAGGCTTGCGTGCTTGTAGCCCAGGAAGTATTTTAGTAGCAACTTCTGTGCAAGGTCTCCCTCGTATCTTGTTCGGGAAACCAGGACTCGAGAAATCATTGTCTAAGTGCTTACACACGGATTGCCGTTACCTCGCAGATGTTAAGACAAGAGCCAACCTCTTCTCCTACCTAAAGCAATTTGCTGACCGTCTTTTCAGTCAGACGGCTGGCGATAGGTCACTCCCTATGCAAGAGCGAATAAATTGTGCGTGTGGCTAGTATTTTGCTTTTTATTAGATAAGGCGCCCTCCCCGCTACTTCTTAAATGCTTTGTTGAATAGAAATCAGAGCTGCAGAGTTCCAACTAGATCTCGTTCAGCTGTGTTTGTGGCCGCCTCAAATGTCATCGTCTATTAGTTTTTCGTTCAGATGCGCTGTTTGGCCTGCCTAGCAAGATGCGCCGATTCTATAACTAATTTACCCACGACTGGAACATTTGAATTCAGGCAAGTATTCCCAGAAGTGATGGTAATTGCTTCACCGTTTCGTGTAGTGGGAAAGTGTTCACTAATTAGGCAGAACATAAACGAGAACGAAATTATTTTGTGAGAACAGTGTAACCTTTTTAGCTTGGTTACTCGGTCCTATTTATTCTGTGTCACCCGTAACCTTTCATTTCGCGTTCAAGTTAGGTAGGGCACTCAACATAATTCTGCGATCGACTGGTTTTGCGTGGCGAGCTGGGTGATGGTCAACTCATTTGGGTTCATTGCAGTTCAGGTTATCATCGCAAAATCTGTTCCCATAAATAAATATGCGAAAAAATTCGAGGTCCAGATACAATATTCCTTTCGTCATCCCCGGAAGAGGAAGAAGAAGAAGTCTGGCATTTTTTCAATGACAAGGTTTTTGATTTTCAGGTTTAAATATTCTCATTTTCGGAGGACTTGTCTTTGTCGTTTTGTATGGCTCTACGTTATTACTTATGTCTACTCCTTGTCTTCTTTTTTCACATTCTGTCTTTGTAACTAGGGTGAGGGCGTTGCCATCTTTTTCAAGAAGGATCGCTTTAAGATCGTAGATAAGCTCACGGTTGACTCCCTCATTAACGAAGCAGAGGTAAGGTATGAAGATCTGGCTTCTCAGATCGAAAATCTCGCTTCCAGCGGCGACCTTGATCCTGGTCACATGTACCGCTGCAGGTCACAAGGTCTTCTGGCATGTGTGCTTGAAACGCTCACGAGCTCAAGACCTCACCGGTTTGTCCTGGCTTGCACTCACCTTTACTTCCATCCGGCTGCGTGCAAACTCCGCTGTGTGCAGAGTACTTTTATCAGGCGGCGTCTCGCGGAGTTCGCAGCCGAAAATTCGACAAAATCTGACTCTTCCGGCAAAATGTAAGCAAACAAACATCTTTACTTTAATGTTTTCAGTAGGTATTGTTTAGTTCGTTAAGGAACAATTTTTTTCGCCTTCAACGCTAAGACCTTTGCTTCGAAGAAAAATGCGTCTAGGCTTGTGAAGGCATTTCGCAGTAACCAGTTTGACTAAACACTGAAGTTACTGTTCTAAATCATCGCAACCGACAGTCTATCTGCTGCGACTTAGTAGGACGTTTCAAGGAGTCCGCCTCTGTTGTGGTTGAAATCCGACGCGAGGTGGTTTGTAAAATATTGGTTGTTTTCTACCAAAGAACGAAGTTCTCCGTCCAGTTTTGTTGCCGAATTGGAGCTTTCATCCAGCAATGTCTTCTTGCTAAAAAACATTAACAGCAGCCTGTAATGTGCTTTACAGGGCCTCGTTCGAAGATAACTGTTTGTGCGATTGAAGAATGTGTTACAAATTTGAAGTGAACGGCAACTTTTTACTTAGCCTTCAAGTAGTCTATTGTCTTCGCTGTCGAAATGTGTGTCTATGCGTCCTTTTAATTGGGTTTAAAGCAAGAATTCCCATTTTCTGTCTTCATTAATCCAAGTCAGTTCTTATTGACTTGTGACTGAGTACAGTGACCTCAGTTTGGATCCTGGGGTTCACAATAATAATGTGCGTGGAATTTCTGGTTTTACTCGTTTCTTCAAAGGATATCAATTCGAGTTCGCCTTGAGAAATAAGACGTTTTAATGATTATCCATACATGTGTCAAGGCTATGAAGCTGTCTGGTTCTGCATACTAGTCTTCACTGTTTTTCGATTAATTTCGGTAATGACCCTTAGATTGCAGTCTTCAACCGCTATTGGCTCCATAGAGGGATAAGTTAAGTTTTGAGCATTTATTGATGACTTCAGGTCAACGCTGTGGCAACAATTTTAGGCAAAAGTAGCTTATATAGCCCCACTCATATACCCCTAGTCCCAGCATTTT